AAACACAAAACAAACAAAACAAGATAAATAAACAAAACAAACAATAATACAAAACACAAAGACAAACAAACAAACAACAAACAACAAAACAAACAGAACAAAACACAAACAAAACACAAACAAATCACAAACAAAACAAACAAAATAAGATAAATAAACATAACAAACAATAAAACAAAACACAAAGACAAACAAACAAACAAACAAACAACAAACAACAAAACAAAACAAACAACAAAACAAACAGAACAAAACACAAACAAAATAAACAAAATAAGATAAATAAACAAAACAAACAATAAAACAAAACACAAAGACAAACAAACAAACAAACAAACAAACAAAACCAAATAAAATCAACAAAACAAACAACAAAACAAAACACAAAATAAACAACAAAACAACACAAACAAAACAGAACAGGAGGCAGGTTCAGTATGTGTTTTGAAAGTGTTTTGGTAAAAACTTTGAACAGAGTGTTTTCTTCAGGAGTAAATGTCCGTATTGGGTGGGTTATTATTGGGAGGTTTGGGGGGAACTCACGCCTCGGCCAGTTCTGCTCTCTCCTCTGTTCGCTCCAGCTCTCCCTCCACGATCACCAGCTTACGGGCCACCTGGAGGAAAAGCAGCAAACAGGTGAGTCTGAACCCGTATTCAGATTATCAGACCGATGGGAGCTGGAACATTGAGTCTGCTTTAGAGAAAAGCATCTAAATGCAGAAACGGAAACATAAAAGCTCCAAAAAACAGCTTTAAAGCCCAAAACAGTTTAAAGGCCCCCAAAACAAAGCCATAAAAACAGCTTTAAAAGCCTTACATTAAAATATTAAATGAAGTATTTAAAATACTTACTGTGATATTGATGATAACTGTAAAACTGTGTCTACTTTGTAAGTCGCTTTGAATAAAAGCAGAAACAGAAACAGAAATGCTAAAAAAAACAGCTTTAAAGCCCAAACCAGTTTAAAAGTCCCCCAAAACAGCTTTAATAGCCCTCAAAAACAGCTTTAAAGCTAAAGAAACAGCTTGAGAAGCCGCAAAACATCTTTAAAGCTCTCAAAAACAGCTTTAAAAGCCTTACATTAAAATATTAAATGAAGTATTTAAAATACTTACTGTCATATTGATGATAACTGTAAAACTGTGTCTACTTTGTAAGTCGGTTTGAATAAAAGCATCTAAATGCAGAAACAGAAACATAAAAGCTCCAAAAACAGCTTAAAAAGCCACAAAACAGCTTTAAAAGCCACCAAAAAAGCTCTAAAAGCCCTAAAAAAACTGCTTTAAATCTAAAGAAACTGCTTGAGAAGCCGCAAAACATCTTTAAAGCCCTCAAAAACAGCTTTAAAAGCCTTACATTAAAATATTAAATGAAGTATTTAAAATACTTACTGTCATATTGATGAAAACTGTAAAACTGTGTCTGCTTTGGGAGTCGCTTTAGAGAAAAGCATCTAAATGCAGAAACAGGAATACAAAAGCTCCAAAAAACAGCTTTAAAGCCACAAAACAGCTTTAAAAGCCACCAAAAAAGCTCTAAAAGCCCTAAAAAAACTGCTTTAAATCTAAAGAAACAGCTTGAGAAGCCGCAAAACATCTTTAAAGCCCTCAAAAACAGCTTTAAAAGCCTTACACTAAAATATTAAATGAAGTATTTAAAATACTTACTGTCATATTGATGATAACTGTAAAACTGTGTCTACTTTGTAAGTCGGTTTGAATAAAAGCATCTAAATGCAGAAACAGAAACATAAAAGCTCCAAAAACAG